GCAAAAGATTGAAAAGAGGATGAAAGGAGCAATAAAGAGATGCTTCCCTGCAGCCAATCTGGTGACACTATACAGTACTACATGCTCTATAAGCCAATCGAAACTGGATAAGTACCCTGCTGATGTTACCTCCAACTGCATTTATAAATTTACGTGCACCTGCGGCAGCAAGTACATTGGAAGGACAGAAAGAAGGGCTTCTATCCGGTTTTCAGAGCATATTCCGAGAAACTTATGCTTAAAAGGAAGCAGATATTTACAAAGTGCAATTACCAGACACCTTGTGGATACGGGCCATTTTGTCGAGATTTCCAAATCCTTCAAAATATTAAACATACAAAGGACAGCGAATCTACTACGATTTGCTGAAGCAATTGCAATCAAACGTCTCAGACCAAACTTATGCACACAGAAAGAGAGTGTAGTCAATCTCTCACTCCCTTGGTAACCGTATCACTTTCATTACACTGATTAGTCATACACACTAGTGAGCTCAACTCACTAAGCAAGTTTTCAATTTGATGAACTTTGACCTTCTTGAGTTGCCATGTTGACACTGTTTATTAGATTTTTCTGTCTTCTCTCACTCACCCCCCCCCTTTTGCCTTTTTTTCATAGTTTGATAGTATATAAATTGATGGTAACTTAAACTATAAATTTTAATCCTTATATTCCGGATGCGTTCATCTTATAATGTTTTCTCTATTATCTTTCAAACAATGAAGTATGAAATGTTATTATTTATAACCATTGTAATTTCAGGTAGTTTGCAGCTGATGAGAACCTGTGAAATAGAATGATATCATTTTATACTGCAAATCTGGTCTTTCATTCTCTATTGAAGGTTTCCTTTTCATTTGTTCAACTTTCAAGCTCCATGTCGCATTACCACGAAGAACGATGAGGCGAGTTGCGGGACAATTGATGCTTTTTTTCGATAACTAGATATCTTGTTGATGCCACAAATAGCGCCTGTTGGCCAGTGTCCTGATGTCTGTGTTTTGCACACGATCTGTGGTTTTCTTATCAATCTTCTTACGGTTAATGCAACTTCTCAACCATGCTCAACCGATTTCACACTGTATTCTTAAACTAGCAGTCGGTGTAAATAACTCCTGAAGTGTTGTTATCTTAGATTTGACAAGAGACAATCACATGCCAGAAGTAGTCAGAGGTATTCAGAAGAGTATCTATTATGTTTTCTTCTGCATATCAAAATTTTAACTTAAAAATTGATCGACGATAGAAAATCACATGTTTAAGCTGTTGATAAGTTACACAATTTTAACAAAATAAAAATAATGTGAAGTATTTGAACACTAAAATAATAATGATTAGAAGTTGTCTTAATTAAAATAAAGTTTTCACTTCACATATCATCAAGTAATTGTGGTTTCCATTATGAAGAAGTAAACATTACAAAAAATCACTCAGTGTAAGAAAATCTGAAGCATACTCACACGTGGAACAATAATATAATAGTAATATGAACTATGAAGTCACAATATTGGATGTTAACAGTATATAAAGAAAAAAATAGGAGAAGAAATAAGTAGAACATGGTTTTTAGTATAGTAAAGATAATGGACTGATTTGCCGAAGAAATCTCAACACGGATAAAAAAGCTTTTGTAACATTTGAAAAGTTTTGCATCATCTTTGATGTAGATATGATATCCAGCTGCGTAACGTTTCGTTGTCCTCCATTGTCCACCATTGAAAGTGGAAGGTGTGAAGAGGCTAGCAGTCTTTGATTATAAATGTTTGCGTTCCTGGTAAGCAATACTGAGGTTAGGCGTAGACAACTGTTAGATAAGAGGGCAAGTTAGTCGATGAGGTTGTAAAGCTACATCAACTAGGATGACTAGGGTAAGTGTTGCACTGCTGTGCTGAACTGTTGCCTTCGTCCTGAGACCAATGTCAGTTAACATAGAGTTGGATTGGAAAAGATTTATGGGTGATCCGACCAAAACTTGGAGTCAATCCATGATGAAGTCTTTGACTGTTGATTTAAGCCAGCCCACGTAAAGAGGTGTAGACTGCCTCCAAAAAGCTCGAGCTGCTTTCGCTAACTTACACCATCTCTGGCGTAGGCGTGACATCCGGCTATCAACCAAGGGACGTATGTACTGCTCAGCAGTTCACTCCGTCCTTCTCTATGGCTCTGAAACATGGCCAATACGAGTTGAAGACGTGAAAAGGTTGACTGTTTTTGATCATAGATGTCTACGATCTCTTTCTCACGTTAGGTGGTATAATAAGGTAAGTAATGTTGACGTTAGGCGTAGAGTGTTGGGCAAAGAGGGAAAATCAATCGAAGAGGCTATAAAGTTACATAGATTGAGATGGCTAGGTCACGTGCTGCGCATGCCTAACCATCGCCTCCCCCGACGGGCATTACTAGCTGATATAGGTGCAGGTTGGCAAAGAGTAAGTGGTGGCCAAACAGAAACATGGCATCAATCCATGAAATCCTTGACAGTTAAACTGAGTCAGGTAGGGAGATGCAGACTTCCAGGTTGGGCCGCCCTCGGGACTCTAAGAATCAATGGCTGGAGACAATAGGTGACATGGCTCAAAATCGTTGTCAATGGCTTACGCAGATGTATTCAGTCTCTGTAATCTTCCATGTTCCTTTCTACCATTACTCATTCTGTTTCACTCTTATACTTGTCAAAACTCTATTGATTCTCTTCATCACTCATTTTCTTGTCTACGTTTGTGTGCTATTTGGAACGTGGCAACTGGAACTGCTGCACTTCGGTGCCAAGTTCTATGTTGAATCCAAACAGACTGCCTGGTTGTAATTCTCAGGATGCTAATAATGATGTGGTTCAAAATCATTGTCAGTAGCAAATATGCATTCACTCTTTGTGACCTCCTTCCATATCCAATATTCCATCATCATATTCTTCCATGTTACTGTTCTTTCTCTGGTAAACTTATACTCATTATTGTTCTTCTGAATTTCTTTTTTCTCTATTGTTTCTTCCTTTGACTTTCAGTATAGAACTTAGCACAGAAATTCACTAGTTCAAGCTACCATACTCCTTATGGCATTTATTATTAAAATAAAATAAATAATAATAAGTGCAATATGGTGTGCGGCAGCTTGAACTAGTGCTCTTCTGTGCAAAGTTCTATGTTGAAAGTTAGGCAGTCAGTCAGTTAGTTAGTTATTATTATGATCTCAAGTATTTTACCGCAGAGAAAAGTGAATATAGACAACTGTGCCATTTCTGTTATCGATTTTAAACTGTAAAGAACTAATTCTATGCTAGTTGTAAATTCTTTCCATCCTCAGAACAAAAAAACAGCAATATATTTTTCAGTAATTAATTTATTATAATTCTAGTACCCTTCATATTTGTTCACTTATTGTATATTGAGCATAAGAAAGAATGGCACTAACGTGCTAATTAGAAGTGCTCTCCTTTTATTTACTAACTATAGTTAAATAGATAAATTACAATGAGATGTGAATAGTATTCACATAAATTAATACCACAATATTATGAAGGTATGAGAAAGCGATATTACAAAAAACAAACAAACAGCATTCAGATATGCTATAACATTATTATACTATTATTATTATTCGCTCAGGTTCCTAGTGGAACATTTAGGGCTTCAGCAGCACATCTCCACTTCACTTTGGCTCCATGATTACCCATAAGTTTTCATTCCCTCCTCCATACATGATCTCCTTCGTGTCAATGGCGCCCAACTTGTCGTTTTTGTATTCGGGTTCCAATCGAAGGCCTGCCTGAGGCGTTATTTCACTCAATGTTCTCCTCAGCCTTTATTTGTTGGTCAATAGGTTCTTGATTGGTCGGTCGGTCGGTCGGTTCCCAGAAGTCCCGATCGGTCATCTGGTCTTCAGTGTCTGACCAGCGAAGACAAATGCAAGTCTGTTATAGGATAAGATATATTCATTAAGTTTTCACTACTCATACAATTACACTTTTCAAAGATGGCCTATACAATGAAATTAAGTAAATATCTTTAGTTGTGTTCTTGTCTTTAACTAATACGTGATAACACAATAACCTGTTAAAATTCTGTTTCCACGAACATCAAGGACTATACCGATCAGTTTATCCATTACAGTCCTACAGGAGATCAGTCTTGAGTTGGAATAACGCTGTCGTAACGTCTATGACTATGGCACCGGGTTCCAAACTCAAACGGAAAATGAGTTCCTTCAAGGTTGCAGATACACCTTTCTGACGGATGCCAGCAAGCCCGAAACCTAGGCGAAGTAGGGCTTCTTAATCATTACCCCCAGTCATCTATAACACCAGTAACAGAGTTTTCTGATTTCGCGCATTTCGAATGCCAATATGCTAACAGATATTACTGCAATACAAAACGTCTTCTCTTCACTGGCGGTCACCTAGTCCTATAGCCAGAAAATAGGGAAGAAGTTATAACAGCAGAACTTTATCATCTTACCTAGATATACTGTCATAATAGATATGTTTAGTTGGTGAATTTTACAATGGTATAGTATCGCCTACTTGAAGACGTGTGCGATTTATTGCTCCTAATCATATCAATATTAGTTAGGATTCACTTCCTCAGAACAGATTTCTCATCTGCTATAAGCCATCCTTATTGTGTGAAGTTGGATGATGTGATCCAATCGCTCTGGCTAAAGTAGGCGGAATGGGACTCGAACACCATATCTTTAACCTCAAAGGAACTTATATCCTCTCGGAGATTTGAAGTGTTGCCACTGATTCCTTCGGGCTCATTTACGCAACAAAACTGTCCCATTTGAAGAGCCTATATAATGCCGTTACGTTTATTTGATCACTAGGGAGTAAGTAATGATATACATCTAGTCCTTGGTGTTAATACTGATTGAATTCTATCAGTCAAATATGTAATATGGGGTCACCAAATCGGGTGACTCATTATCACATTGCACTTTGAATTGATCACATAATAACCTTAATGATACTAATCCTGCATTTATTTATTTTTCTTTACTTTTAGGGTGTTATGGTTCGACTTATTCTTGTATTAGCACCAATTATGTGTATTTTAGGCGCGATTGGCATTTCTGGTATACTGAAGTCATTTTCGGCTAATCTGAATGCACCAGAGAGTACAGGTACAAAAGTGCCAAGTAAACATGTTGCCGCTAATGGATATCCATCCAGTACTGGTACCGGGAAACTATCTAAATATGCAATTCAGGATTCCACATATCCCTTTAAAAATGCGGTAAGTTAAGCACCCTTTTTTATCAGCTGCATGAAATTATGTATAATTCTAGAAAAGTTTTATTTATAATAATTCATATTATTCCTGTAAATACACTTCATCATATACCATCTTGGAGTGTGGTGATTACTCTTACTTATTATATTATTATTATTCCTTTGGGTTCCGAGTGGAACATAGAGCTTCAGTAGCACATTTTATTTTTTTTTTAAATTTTATTACAGCTTGACTTCACACAGTATTTTTGATACAAGTATGGAATTTTCAGCATGTGATATCGGTAGCCCAAATTTCTCAGGTCAGACCAGTGATATCGGGTGTGCGTCAGCCGGGAGTCGAACCCCGGACGATGAGCGTGGTCGGCGAGCGTCCTAACCACTAGGCCACTGACGCTCTATCCTCTGCCGTCCTTCTAAACTGGCTCCACGACTGCCCACAGACTTTCATTTCTTTCTCACACGATCTCCTTCATATAACCCTCGGACCCACACACACAACCTGTTGTTCCCTGTTTAGGTTCCAGTCGATGGTCTACCTAACGCTTGGTGTTACTCAACAATCTTCTAGGTGTGTGCCCAATCTATTTCCTTCGGTATATTTGTCAGGTGATAGAGATTCTTGGTTGGTTCGTTGCACTGCTGAGTTCCATGTTGTTTATCCTTTCTGGCCAATGTGAACTTCAGTGTCGAGAGGTAACGAAGACAGTTAGTTGGTTGATAAAAGTCTGCAATAGCCTTTTGGATATGCGCCAAGTCTCCTAACCATAAAGAAGCACCGACTGACTTTGACATTCGTGTTGAGAACCTGAATCTTATTCCTCATTCTGACTGCAGCGTAGATTTCTACACGAATTTCAGGTCACTGTTATTTATGCATGAAGGTTGTTCTCCTGGGGATTTTCAAATATTTTTATGCCAATGTTTTTTCAATATAATTTCCGCTCTACCTTTTGTTGGCTATTATATGATGGTACTTGTGGAGAGAGCTAATGACAAGTGTGTGTTTGTGTCAGGAGGAAGTGAGAGGGAGAACCTATCTACTCAACACTACCTCCCTTATTCCGTTGAAATAACTGTCCTTGCTTTTGCAATCAGCGTGTCATGTGTTTATAAATCTGTAGCGTGAAATTCAGAAACCTTGTAGTATCTGTTTAAAGTCTGTCAAACATTCTGCTAAAGAAATGTGATTGTGGAGAATACCTTTAGTGTCTTTCTAGTCAACACTTTCGAATATGCTGATGTAACCGTCTAATTAATACGTCATAAAATTCTTCACATCTCTCTGTCTTGGAATTTATTTTTCACTCGTTTGTGTTCCGAGTGGCTGTCTGATATTTCAGTGGCGATGGTGTTGGCTTCATCGTGAAGATGTCGTGTTGCTAGCCTCACGCCCAACCTCTCCTTCTTTTCCGGAGTTACTTATCGGCGAATCAACGTGGAGTGAGGTTGAGGAATGCATCGGCTGGGAATGGAACGTGGACCATCACGTTCATGGTTAGCGAGCATTCTGCCACTGAACCAAAGCCTCATTCTGCTGCGCTGTGGATAAAACACGGGCCTCCTGGATGTAAACCATGAATCCCACCAGCTAGTTCACGCGAATTACGAATTTCAATTAGATCACAATCATTATTAATATTTCTTTCTTCAAAACTGGAACTTAAGTCCTCTTTCTAGGGGTAAAATTCATTGGTCTAGTCACTTTACTCCTAACTAACATGTTATTTAATGAAATTTCAGTCTGTCTGCTGAAGTTTACCTAGTAGGAAGACCAACAAACCCACACGACTTGGTCAAACAGAAGCAAGATTCACAAACCATCGGATTTTTAACAGTCGATGTTTAAAAAATCATATAATTCCAAAATATTTACGCCTGCGTACTCCAATTACTTCAAGAAAAATAACATCAGCAGCCGAACATGTCAGTAGATTATGTCTAAGAGAAGAACTACATCGAATTACTGTCAGCTGAAGTTTGTTTAGTATGACGATATCGTTAACTCTTACAAAACAAATGCGAATGAAATGATGTGATTCGGTGGACTTATCTGTCTACCTTCAGCCACTGGTCCTGGTTGTCGAATCTAACTCCATCTACGTCACCTCAAGCTGCTGAGAAGTATAACTAGGTCGTGCACAATAATTGCGGCACTTAACTTGGTACACGGGAAATTGTATCCCAACTAACTGAACTGTGTTTCATTACTAAATGTGAATAATAACTTTTTAAGTTTTCAGAAGTTATATACAACATAAGACTTTGCACAGAAGTGCACTAGTTCAGGTCGACACACTCTATGAAGCACACAAAGAAAGGGAGAGAAAAAAGATTTTCAAAAGAACTACAGTGAGCAGTAATGTACAGGAAAAAGAGTAGTAACGTGAAAAAAAAGCATGCTGGCTAACATTACTCGACGAGTAAGGCGATGGACGACCAGCTTAAGCAACACGCGTCCTAGCCATCTCGATCGATGTAGTTTCACAATCTCATTGATTGACTTGCCCTCCTTACCTAACACTGCGCCTAACGTCAATATAACTCACCATATTATACCACTTAATACATTGATCAAAGACAGCTTTATCCGTCAGCTGTCAACTGCCGTGTTTCACAGTCATAAAGGAAGGCAGGGCAAACTGCTGCCTCTGTCATCTGTATCGTTTTGAAATTCAGAAATTACTCATCGTTAAGGATGAAAATTGTGTCGAGTTTTACGTCAGAGAAGCAAATGAGGTATTGCCTAAACAAATTTTGCAAGGTAGTATCTTGACATTGTTTTGTTGTTGATGATATAATAATATGATACCAATTTGTGGGTTCGATACTAATACTGATTGCCGATTAATTCTGAACTCCAGAGGTCACACAAATAAAGACGGAAGACAAACAGGTCCTTGCCGGTTAGAACACTTCGATTTTATTTTGCAAAAGTCTGTTATATGTAAATTTCTATCTACCTCGGAAAGTTGAGCTAACAAATAACCAATTAATGAAAACAAAACACGTACATCAGCGAAGAGTCTCTTTTACGGCGAATTCATTTTCTTAGCTGTACAATCGCAAATATAAATGTGTTATTTTGTATGTATGTGTACATTAAGTTTGTCAAACAAAAATACAATTGGTTATAGTTATTTAAACTAAACAGGTGAAGATTGGTAATTGGAGTTACGTAATACAAAATCAGTCAAGAAAATTAGGTGTTAGTGAAATTAGGGTAGTAACAAAGGTGATGAGTTGTCACAAACAGTTGTTAAAAGAAGTTATGTAATAATATGAATAGTTTGATGAGTGAGTTTTACTCAGGATGCACATAGGAACAAAGTAGATAATACGAAATTACGTAAGAATTCTAAATGAATACAAGAATTATAAACAATTAAAGAACAGGCAAAGAAACAAAATTAAGTCATCAAAATCAAAAATCAAATCAAAAAAGTTGTTACCAAGGCAGTAGAAGTGGTTGAGTAATCCTCTTTTGTATGCACAGCTCCGGTTTTTCTATGTGAATGGCCATTATCATTCACTCATCACCTTTGTTACTACCCTAATTTCACTAACACCTAATTTTCTTGACTGATTTTGTATTACGTAACTCCAATTACCAATCTTCACCTGTTTAGTTTAAATAACTATAACCAATTGTATTTTTGTTTGATAAACTTAATGTACACATACATACAAAATAACACATATATTTGCGATTGTACAGCTAAGAAAATGAATTCGCCGTCGAAAAGAGACTCTTCGCTGATCTACGTGTTTTGTTTTCATTAATGCCTGGATGGGGATTATACATGAAATAACCAATTATATCGATTGCACAAGGTCAGGCTTCTAGGTTGCCCAATCGCATTTCAATGAATATTCTGTCTCAACCCAATGTTTTAGTTTGTCCATTCTGGTTTAGTCATGCCTAAGCGTGTTTTCATTCCTATGGGCTGGTTTTAGCTGTTTACTATCAGACACCTCGTGGTGTTTTGTAGAACTACTTAAAATTGTGCTTGACTGACGGCGTTTTTTTTATCCACGAAATTCTGATGGTTATCAGAAAGAGTCTCGATTATTTAACCGATTATTTATATATATACGGATTTTTTAATATATTTGTGCGTTGAAGTTTCTGTAGCGATTTGGTTAAGTTTTGGGGGTGGAGTTGCTAGCACCACGCCCCAACCCTCCCTCTTTATCCGGGTTTGGGACCGGCTAGAAAACTAGTGAGCTAGTAATCTAGGCGAGGTTCATATATACGGATCAAATCGAGAATCGGGAAGGCGAGAAACACATTCATCAACCTGAAACCAATCTGGAAATCTTCGTCACTCAGCCTGCATCAACAACAAAATTCGGATTTTCAATACAAACGTCAAGTCAGTCAGTTCTTCTATACGGATCAGAAACTTGGCGGCGGGTCACAAAGAATAGTTCCAACAGCCTGTTGCACACCTTTATCAACAACTGTCTTCGCTCTATACTGAAGATCAGATGTCCGGAAATAATCACCAACAAGAAACTATGGCAAAAAACAAAACAAGAACCAATCGCTCAACAAATATGCAGGAGAAAGTAGAGATGGATTGGACACTCGCTGAGGAGGCCGTTGGGTGACATCACGCGTCAGGCCAGTGCTCGAGTGGAACCCGAAAGGGAAGTGGCGAGTGGGACGTCAGTGCAAGGGTGACATGGAGGAGATCGTGTGAAGAAGAGTTGAAACAGTATGGACTAACATGGATGCAGGTGGAAAGTACAGCAGAAGACAGAAGCAAGTGGAGACGTGTAGTTGAAGCCCTATGTTCCACTAGGAACCCAAGGGGACAATAATAATAATAATAATATATACGGAAATTTGAATCGATATCTTACAAAATTTCCGTCAGATGATATATTCACCATAAAATTGTTTTATTTTCGCATCTCTCTCGTATTCTATTTACGGGTTATTTCTCTCTTTTACTTACTCTTCTTTCATAGGTTGCCACGTTCATGGTTCTACTTTTATTAATTCAGCTGATATTTTTTGGACGACATTGTATATGGGTTACATCATCATCCTATTCTCATCCGTCTATTGTATTGGAGACTTCAGATAATTTTGGGAATCGTCATATTCTCGATGATTATAGAGAAGCATACTATTGGCTTAGACAAAATACAAAACCAGTGAGTTCCTTTCAGAGCTCTTATTTTTTTTCCAAAGTCACCATTACTTGCTGGCCATCTTACTTACCTAGAGAGCTGAAATTGGTATGAGTAAGTCTGACTGAAAATGTGTGTGTGTGGGCGGTTATTACTCCCTGACTGCTCACATCATAGAAGTTGATTTCTCCTTAGAGCGCCCGAAACAGATCGCAAAGCCAAGGGGACAACTGCTTGATGCCGGTTACACTCAGTCTGTTTAAAGTGGTCATTGAAGTTGTGTCCGTATTATGATCTTACCGCGCCAGCTACGGACCACTGCAAGGTAATTCGGGATTTAGGACCTTTTCTAACCCCCAATCTCCGGAGTGGAGAGGCAGCATAGACGACATGCTAGTCACCTGAAGGAAATACACTGTAGTTATATCCTTAATCCGCAGCAGCACGACTTCGCCCACAGAGACCCCCAGCAGAAAGTGAACAACTTACACTATGACGGTAACTGTTTGTAGTCTAATCGTTAACTAAACAACCTTTCTGGCATGGTAGGACCTTCAGGAAGATTAGTTCCAGCCAGTGCAGCTCGTTGGGTCATCCTGATATACAGGCAGGATCACCATACCACATAGTTATCAGTTATCACTCGAGATAAGTGGATTTAGCGGATAACGAACTCTTCATACAGATTGAAAAAGGGTTTACCTGGCTTGCACTTGCTTTTGAGTATAGTTCGCTTTATTCCTTCCTATTCTTCGTAGGGATAGTAGAATTTTCCAGGTGTCTAGGAGAGGTAGGTGTTGCACGTACATTCAGTTGACTCGATAAATAAAGCTTCACAGTTATCACTGTTATATTAGGTTTTAAGACTGTCATCTTGTCCCATCCATCCTGTTGTATGGTTGTGTGTAATTGCATGTTATTGTTATAGTTGAGCTATTTTTTGTTTTAGATTTCTTATCTTATTACTGTCAACCAATCTAGACTTTGCTATGTTTTTGTGCTGCTCTAGTCTGACCGATCGAGGAGGCTGGACGAATATCGTCACATTCGATACCTTCTTGGATTCTGCATCATATGGCAACATTCTTCTCATAGTTCTCTTCTTTGATGGCTCTTTCCAGTGTGCAAAACATATTGCTACTTTTCTGAATTCGCTTTCTGATATACTACTTATATCGGATTATAAGTAGCACTCACCACACTACTACTACTACTACTGCTTTGACTTAAATATTTCAGCTGACAATCATTACAAGGTATCGTATATTAATCGATATTAGTCTAACAAGGCTGTAAACATCTACTGATTCAGGACAGATCAAGAGTGTGTATTATCAGGTCAACAAGCTACCTTGAAGTGTTATATATTAACTAGTGCAATTCCTGGATATGTATCCATCTCATTCTTCTGAAGACACACCATGTTTTTCTCATGTTTTAACTAGTGAAATGTAACCAATCTAACTATCAGAAGTAACAGTATATTATTAAATTGATATACTGTACTGTTTATCTTTCATCAGCCTATACACTTGTTGTTGTTGTTGTTGACTACTCCTCTCCATTTTAGGATGCTAAGATAATGTCTTGGTGGGATTATGGTTATCAAATTACGGCTATTGCAAATCGTACTGTACTTGTAGATAATAATACATGGAATAATACTCATATTGGTCGTGTTGGACAAGCTATGGCATCATCAGAAGAGGAAGCTTATGAAATTATGAAAGAATTAGATGTTGATTATGTGCTTGTTATATTTGGTGGGGTATTAGGTTACAGTTCTGATGGTAAGTATAACCCATATATATATATATATATCATTCCTTTGCTTTCCAAGTGGAAAATAGGGTATCAAGTTAGAGTTTTAAAGTCTTCTTTACGTGGTGAGGTTGCTAGCCTCACACCCAACCTTCCCTCTTTACCAAGGTCATTATCGGCTACGTGAGGTTTAGGAGTGCGTTTGCCGAGTATCGAGACCCGAACCACTTGGGTGGTTGGTGAGCATTCTACCCTTGAACCACTAACTCACCAGGTGTATTTATACCGGTTTTAAATTCTTAGGTAAAGTGTCGAATTCACTACTATACCTATAAGCAAGCATAAACTAAATCTCTAATTGCCCAGAATCCTAAGAATTTGGCTCATTGGCTTGAGCACTCGACTTTCAGCTGTTAGATCCCAAGTTCGAATCCCGCTTCGCCCACTTCATTCCGGAAATAAAACTTCCGCAGTAGTTTTGCACCTGGTAGGAAATAAAAGACTATGTAATTTAATTATGCAAAATAATTCAATTTATCAAATTCTGTATATAGTAGTTGTGATGTATCAGGTAGGTGTGTGTTGAATCTAATGCTCACTTACTACAAGATGAAAGTGCCTGGAGTTCTAGTGAGAAGTCGTGTTCAGTGTGGAGTCCATCAAGTGGAGTGTGAGAAGAGAAATATCCACCAGTAACACTGGCTATTCCATTATGGGTAAATTTTGTTTTGATAAAGTCTCACAGTGTTATACAGTAATATTTACTGATGACGTTTCGAGCACAATTTATTGCTCATAATCATACCAAGGTAATCACACGACTTCCTAAATTCATTTATATAGTTCCATTGTTTTTCACTTGATTTGATTGGTAGTAATATCTCCATATTTCGGGTATGAGTGATGAATCATTCCTATTGCATGTGTTGGGTGTAGATTCGATGAACAAGGATTCAGTAATTAACCTCTCTCTTCACCTACCTATATTACTTTTTAGAGTTTTAACCCTCTCCCACCCACCTACAACCCGTCCAGAAATACCAACAACAGCACGTACACAACTGCAAGTTGACACCAATCCTCCAACGAAAACTGAAGTCATGAATGCAATCAAGCTTCTGAAAGCTGGAAAAGCAGCTGGACCAGATGGAATACCCCCGGAAGCACTGAAAGCGGACCCAGAGAGAACAGCAGATATGCGGACTCCATTATTGCAAAAGATCTGGAAAGAGGGAAAGGTGCCTAAAGACTGGAGGAAACGTTACCTGGTGAAACTACCAAAGAAGGGCGACCTGGGACTCTGCAAGAACTGGCGAGGAATCATGCTCCTGTCGACGCCAAGTAAAATCCTGAGTCGCATCATCCTGGAGAGAATCAAGGACGCACTGGATACAGAACTCCGACCAGAACAAGCTGGATTCGGGAAAGGCAAATCATGTTCTGACCAAATTGCAACTCTACGCATTATCATCGAACAAAGCATGGAATGGCAATCAAATCTCTACCTCAACTTCATAGACTTTGAGAAGGCCTTCGACAGCGTTGACCGCGAAGTAATTTGGAAACTACTCGAGTACTACGGCGTACCCCAAATATTCATCAACCTTACTCAACAACTGTACGACAACGGCACATGTCAAGTGATCCACAACGGAAAACTCAGCGAAGCGTTTGGAGTAAACACAGGAGTCAGACAAGGGCGCTTATTATCATCAATGATATTCCTAATTGTGGTGGACTGGATTATGCGTCAGACAGTGGGAAACGAGAAGACAGGGATATCCTGGACCGACGTGAAGAACCTAGAAGACCTGGATTTCGCGCGTGGATCATTTATGTTTGATGTCACACAAAATCGAAGACTTACAAGCAAAAACCGACAAACTGGTCGAAGAAGCAGCAAAGACAGGACTCCAGGTGAACATAGACAAGACGGAGGTCATGAAAATAACCAACCAACAACAACAGCAGCAGCAACATCCACCGCCAATCACCATCAACGGGAGGGATTTGAAAGAGGTTACTTAATTCACTTATCTAGGGAGCATTGTCTCAACTACAGGCAGTTGGAACGGACGAGGATGTCAAATCGGGCGAGAATCGGGAAGGCGAGAAACACATTCATCCACCTGAAACCAATCTGGAAATCTTTGTCACTCAGCCTGCATCAACAACTAAATTCGGATTTTCAATACAAACGTGAAGTCAATTTTGCTTTACGGATCAGAAACTTGGCGGGTCACCAAGAATATTTTCAACAGGTTGCAGACCTTTACCAACAACTGTCTTCGCTCCATACTGAAGATTAGATGGCCGGAAAGAATCACAAACAAGAAGCTATGGGAACAAACGAAACAGGAACCAATCGCCCAACAAATATGCAGGAGGAAGTGGAGATGGATTGGACACTCGCTGAGGAGGCCGTTGAGTGACATCGCGCGTCAGGCCCTCGAGTGGAACCCGAAAGGGAAGCGGCGAGTGGGACGTCCAAGGGTGACATGGAGGAGATCGTGTGAGGAGGAGATGAAACAGTATGGAATAACATGGACGCAAGTGAAAAGTACAGCAGAAGACAGAAGCAAGTGGAGACGTGCAGTTGAAGCCCTATGTTCCACTAGGAACCCAAGGGGAACACAACCCTCTCCCACCCTATTGTGTGGTTGTGTGTTAATGCATACATTGAAATTGCTGAGCTTTTTTCTAAATTACTCATCTTCTCTGGGTCAACCATTCTGACCTTAGCTAAATTCTTATGTTCTGACAATCTGACTACCGCTGACCTACTAGTCTGACCTATGTAGTTGAGCTCACAGCCATTGCAGGGTATTTTGTAAATTATATTATTTTGTCTAATTGGGTCCACTGGGTCCTTTAGCCTACAGAGCTTGTCCCTGAGTGAGTTTGTAGGTTTAAATGCCACCCTAATTCCTGCTTTATTTAGGGTTCATCGAATCTACACCCAACACATGCAATAGGAATGATTCATCACATATCCGAAATATGGAAAATATTACTACCAATCAAATCAAGTGAAAAACAACGGAACTATGTAAATGAATTTAGGAAGTCGTGTGATTACCTTGATATGATTATGAGCAATAAATTGTGCTCGAAACGTCATCAGTAAACATTAGTGTATAACACTGTGAGACCTTATCAAAACAAAATTTACCCATAATGGAATTACACTCTACCACAGTGCACAAGTTTTATTCTTATATCTATAATACTGGCTATTGGTGGTGCTAGATAACTAAAATTACGGGCCATCTTGAATTCTGTCCCAGTAGGTGAACAAGCTCACCTTGTAACCTGAACATCCTGGTTGTTTGGAACCCCGGTAACTTTATGAGTGCGTACTGTGGAGGAGTCATTTGAGTCATACACCACACTGTAAAGCTCACCGACAACATATATATGCCACCGAATCAGCTTTATTGCTGGCGGTATTTTATCAGTAATTATGAAACACCTACCAAAAACACACATATAGTCGTCTACTAAGGTATTTAGATAATAACTGATTCCCTGTTGTTTTAAATTATGTAAATAAATAATTATTTTTTAGATAAGAAATAACAGATGTATCAACTGTTTGTCTACTGATCAAATTCTATCTATCGATCAAAAATTCAGTTGTGTGTTTACCGCCAAAAAATTCCAGTGACTAATTCATATTGCCTGCCATATCCGAGGGTAAAAAAGTAAAGAAGCACATGATATTCAATTCAGGATGTATATGCTTCTTGAATAATTCTATTCTATACCGACCGTATACGGTATAGAATATAGCTCATTGGCTTAACCACTCAGTTTTCAGCCTATCGGTCACAGGTTCGAGTCCACCTGCACCCCCTCTCCCTATAAACCAACCCTACTTCAGCCTGGGCGACTGGATAGCGTACCGTTAGCCCCTTTCACACTAATAAACGTGGCTTATAGCCGCTTGGCACATGAAAAAATATGTTTCGGGTTATGCATGAGCTTATGCATGTTTTCTTTTCAGGATTCTAGGCTTCATTCGGCTTATTCCATCATCACTACTCTTGTATATCAAAATGTTTATTAGTGATGAATACACCACATCATAAAGTGTCTTTGTTTACTCTACATACACGTTTTACTCCTCTTTAAGTAGTAATTTCTGACAGTGTGTATAAAAATTACGAATCTTCTAAATATATTTGATTTCATGTAAAATCATTCAGTAGACTAATTCTGTGATAGCAAAAAAAGAAAGCCAAACTACAGTAATTCAAATCTGATTTCTTTACGGATGGGAAAAATGGTCATTAAAAAAATGAAAAGCATGAAAAGGCCAGTTGTTTTTAACCACTGAAGTGAAGTTTGCGCGTCCTATCTCTCTTGTTGATTGGTATAACATTATGGCGAGTCATATTAAGGTTAGGCGTAGAGTGCTAAGTAAGAATGGGGACAGTCAACCAAATGAGCTTGCCTCGATTGAGATGGTCAAGACACATGTGTTACGTATACCACCAAGCCATTGGCTTTTTCGCCTAACTATATATTGGCTGACAGAGGTTTGAAGGGAGTTTTAGGTAACGGCCTAACCAGACTATTGTTTGATCCATGTATGGAGGAGGTGTCAACCCGCTTGTATGAGGTTCTCGAGATGCTAAAAACTATTAGTTATATTAGAGGGAGTTAGGTGACACGACTCAAAATCGCTCTTAGTGTGTAGCACAGATGCACCAAATTCTCAGTATTATCTATCCATGTACTCCTCTTTGCCTCTCCACATAATTAATAATTATTCTTTTGAAACTTCATATCTGATAGATGTGAATAAATTTATCTGGATGGTACGTATTGCTGGGAGTACAGAGAAAGGACGTCATGTGCATGAAAGTGATTATTATACATCACAGGGGGAAATGCGTGTCGATAATGCAGCTAGTGAAACAATGAAGAATTGTTTACTATATAAGCTTAGCTATTATCGTTTTTGGGAAATGAAAACAGCTAGAGGTGAGATGATTGTTTTTTTTTTAAATTGTCAAAATAAAAATGAAAACTTTATTTTTACTCATTCACGAATATTTTATTGATTTTTGTGTAATTAGAAATCAAGGGTGAATAATAATATGTTTATTTAGTTCAGTTTACATTTTCCATCGATTGATTGGACCGAAGGTTGACATATCGGCTCCTCCTTGTGCAGATGTTTCGACGATGTTTGGTCACATAACTTGAAGTCAATTGGTGGATGGTGACTAACTAGCAGTGCAATCCAGGATGCGTACTTCGTCCTGTTTGGGACTCGTCAGCTTACTGGGTGTACTTGCATTTCCCAGTCAGTAATGGTGTTCCCACCGTTGCACAAGGGGTGACTCTCGTGTCCCCCAAGTAAGTGGTCTAGTGGATAACGCTTTTGGCGTCTGAAACCATGGGCACTGGGTTCGAGCCTCGGCAGGAACACCATCGCTCGCTGGGGAATGCAGGTGGTACATCCATATGACGAGCCCCTAATAGGACGAAATGTGCATCTTGGATTCCACCGATTGAAATAATATGTTTGTTTGAGGTGATGCAGGTTAAACTGGTTTATTGTTCAGGTCTCTGATGAAGATACCTAACCAACATAAAACAACAATGGGATAAAAGGAAAGGAAATCATACCTCTTTCATTTATCTGAACAAGTAGCATCATTTCAACTGCAGATAGTGTACACACAAGGAGGTAAAAGCAAAATCGGCACTCACTACTCTGAAATCGATGTGGAGATCTACAATGCTTAGCACAAGGAAAAATATCCCACTCTTAAACACTGATGTCAAATCAATACTTCTGTATGCTTCAGAGACACTTAAGGTACCAAAACTATTCCCAACAAGCTATTGTAGACTTTTGTTAAAAGATGTTTTTGCCGGCTCGACACTCCTCAATATTAGGCGTTTGGGCTAGAAAAGATAAGTAAAAAGGACTTCTGGTAGTGCTGCAGCCTAATAGGCAGAAGTTAGTGATGATGGATCGGGCATACGTAAAGGAAACCTTCAAGTGATATTTCTCGAGTGACGAGCTGGGTGCGGGTTCAAGGATGGCAATGTAGGCGATCTCTTGAAGTGAAAATGTAAGCCTTTAGAGGCAGCTAAGATGACAGAAAACAGAAATACGTTGGAGGTGTGCCTCTGAAGCTGTGTATTCTACTAGGGACCCAATAATAATCTTTCACAGTTAAACAACCATCGCTAGTATAATGTTCATGATAATGCACAGTGCGCTTAATAGATCCACGATCAACTTTCGTATGCATAGCTTTTCTTTACCTACATACATATGTTTAGTTAGTCAGTAAATAGTAAGACTAGAGTTGCTAAGCATGAAACAAACTCGCCCAACTTAAGTAACAATTTTACCTAATGTTATATATCGTTAGTTGATTACAGGGTTGACCACGAGCTAAAATAAGCTAGAGGACAATTGGAAAACCAGCGTGCACTGAACAGCACTGTTTCGTCCCTCGTTGGGACTCTTCACCAATACGCACTCACTGGGGTTCGAAACCACGACCTCCCGGTTACGTGGCGGGCTCGTAGACCATTCAGCCAATGATATATTCGGTGAGACTGTGGGCTGGTGAAGAGTCCCAAACTAGTGCGAAATAGCTGTCCAGCACTCCCTGGTTCCCCACTGGTTCTCTAACTGATATCAGCTCGTGACCAATCAAATCCCTGCAAACTATCACTTAGAAATATAGTTGACTTACTAAATCATATGATGAATCAGGAGTGGAAAATAACCTTGAAATGAAGTTGGTAATTGCAGTCGCCATTTGGATCGGTTAGTGTTCAATGATTCACTTTTTGTTTAGATGGAATGAGTGATTACTATCGAGTAGTTTTAGGAAAGCCCACAACTAACTTACCTTATTAGTATATGTATCTGGATATCGTATATACAATCGCGCAAACACGCATTAAGTGAATTTATGTTTCTTCCTGTGATATGAATTCTTCTGGTAGAAGTCCACTCGAAAAGTTGTTGCTATGATTGATAAATCAAGTGTAGTGACTTCAGCTTCGTGATTAATTTCAAATCATTGGAACGTTCCATCAGTGGCAAACTGCTGAATAAAATACACTTGACACATTATGATGGACACCAAGAAATACGCCACACAAAATCTCATAGTTTTTCCTCGAGGGCTAAGATACTGCCCCCCCCCAGATGCCTAAACCGAAGTAGGTGGTTGTCATAAAGGCCCAGACCACCTCCCGAAACTTTGACTTGAATTCTGACCCACAAGACAGTGGAACTGTATTTCCATGGTTTCAGTTGACCGGAACAAGTTCATGTATCATTTGATATGTTCATATTCTGAAGCTAATGTCCACTACAGGTTCGGAATTGAGGTTTTTCAACTCCCGTAGGTGTACACCCGCATGCTCTACTCTTTGTTCAGCGTAGTTTCTTTTCTCTACTCTTGCGTGTGATTAAGGTAAGGCAGCTTGAACGGGTGCATTTTTTGTGTGAAACGTTCTACGTTGTTTAGTGAACTAGTTATAGGACTACAATAGTTATGTAGGCCACGTCATCCATCGACAATTAATAAAAAACGCCTATTCAATACGAATTAAAATGACAAATTAGCATGATTTATTGACATCTTGGAAATGGGGTGAAAATAGTCAGGGGGGGGAATATCACACTTTATGTCTACACTAAAACAGTTGGTCTAACAATACATTGTATTATTATTTTATTCCTTTCTGTTCCCAGTGGAACATAAGGCTTCAAGCTAGAGCTTTGAAGTTTCGGTAACAGTAGTTTTTTTTACGGATTAGATTAGATTGCTAGCCTCAAGCCCAACGTTTCGTCTTTACCGACTTAGCGAGGTTTAAGGGTTTGTCGGCCGGACATCGAACCCTGGTGAGCGTTTTGCAGCTGAACCACCGACATTAATTAATTAATTAATTAGTGAATAAGAATCAAGTCGCTTAAAGAAATATTTCGCTTATATTACTATTCAGAAAGAGCTCTTTCTTTGAAAACGGAGGCTTTGAATTCTCAAACATTTTGTTGTTGTCTGAACTATACTTCTACTTCGGAAATTTAAATCTCTTGCGCATAATTATTCTTTTTCTAAGTTCACCTATTTTACTCAACAACAAAAAAGCATTTTACAATCTACCCACCATTCACTTTCGACAAGTCTTTATCTTGCTTGTAAAACGTTAGTATACAGTCTAGCACGGATCACTGTCAACGGGAGGAAATTGAAGGAGGAAGTCACTTCTTTCACTTATCTAAGCAGTATCGTTTCAACTGCAAGCTGTGCCACGAGTTAGGATATCAAAGGCTGAATCGGGAAAGTAACACAACCCTTCATTATTCTTCAATAAGTGTGGAAACCTACTGCACTCAGGATAAAAAAAACAAGATCCGGATTTTCAACACGGTCAGTCAGTGCTTCTCTATGGTTCAGAGACTTGGCGTGTGTATCACTAAAAGCATTTCCAACAGGCTACTGCAGGCTTTAATCACCAGTTGCCTTCGCACCAAACTGAAGATCAGTTGACCGGCAAGAAGGGACTAACAACAAGGAACTCTAGCAACGAATCAACTAAGAGTGTTTCGACCAGCATTCATGCTGGAGAAAATGGAGATGGGTCGGACACATGCTGATCAGACCTTTGAGTGACGCCACGTGTCAGGCCCTAGAGTAAAACTAGAATGGGAAACGACAAGTTGGATGTCTGAGGGTGACATACTAAGAGAGGAAATGAAAGCTTGTCGGTAATCATGGGGCAGCTAAAATCAGAGAACATGATGACATGGAGATGTGCTGTCGGAGTTCCGTGTTCCAGTTCTAACCCACTGGGATAATTTAATAAATCCTGTTGCAGAATACCTTCAACCCCTGTTGGCACCACTAATCGTATATCCTAAGCAGCGTTGATTTGTATAGCCTTACATGAAAAGTTAAAAAGACCGCTTTCTTAACTTACTTGGCTTAGAGTTTTGGAATCAAAAATACTCCTGATTATCCATTTTTGATATCATAGTAGTTGTTAAGCAGAAATGTTGTACCTCAGGTTGACCATATGACTTCGTACTATTAACGGATTATTTTGACATTTCCGCCTATCACTAGCCTTTACAAAGTCTTACGATTATGTCATTAGTGTTCACATGAGAGTAACAGATACTCTGTACATATGCACAACTGTTACTGGTTAGTATCAGCAATAAATAGTACTATTTAGCGTCTCTCAGAACTAAAAGCTCTTATCATAAACACTACGGTTTTAAAAACAATTTTGAGTAGTTGTCCATGTTTATGACTCCATCATAACCTGCTGAACACTGAAATTGTGTTTGTGAATCCAGCACCGAATACTAGAAGATCCACTGATATGATATTGTACTACTTCCAAGCATGAAATATAACTTTTAACTTCTGTAATCCACTATTGTAATGTTCTATAGTTTGCATTCACCTACTGAAGCATTCTGTGCCTTATTTTCCATTTGGGATTTTTTTTTCAAATTTATTTCATTAAAACAGATCAACCATTAGGATTTGATCGAGTACGCGGACAAGTAATCGGACATCGAAACTATGAGCTACAAGGCTTAGAAGAAGCATTTACCTCTTCCAGTTGGCTTGTACGCATATATCGAGTTAAACCGTACGCAAATCGTGGAGTCTACTAATTTTTTGTAGCTTATTTTGTCTTCTTTTTTTGAAAATACAATGTGTTTATAACCGTCCTATGTATTGTTTTTATTACTTGTGGAGCTGTGGCTCCTCTCATATCGAGGGTTGCGTAACCTCAACCTTCACACAATAGATTTGGTCCGTTGCCGACCGCATAGACTTGCACGTGCTTGTTTAGTAACATTGACCGATTGAGTTTTAATACTTAAGACAAATAATGTCCATGGATGTAAGATTTATTTGATCCTCCGATATTTTACAACTGTAGAATGTGAGACTCATTTTGGTAGAAACAACTTATCATGGCACACACACAATTTTCCAAAGCAGACTAGACAAGAAGACAGTACAGTGAATGAAAGAGGAGAAGAACAAAATGTAAACTCTGACGTCGATGAGGCTTCACAAAAAGACGTTAATGGGGAAGTGTTACAACGTGAAAAAACAACAACAATCAAACAGAAGACAGTCGGACTCGAGAATTGTCAATATTTATACACAAGTAGGAAGAAAACATGCTATTGTGGATAAGGTGGTAGTGAGTATCAAATAGAAAAGAAACGTGAAGATGTTATGCTGGCTATTGTGGTCTAGCCTTGATTAGCTTGCGTCGTCTCACTTCCTTCTGTGGATTCTGATCAGTTTCTGTCTGGTCACTAGTGTCTTCGTCTTCTCGTTTCACTGAAATTCGAATAAAAAAAGATACATATTCTAAGAAAGATTTGAACACTCGTAAAAACTAGTGATGCTCTTAGAAAAGACTTCGCATTCTACAATTCAATTAGGCATGTAAGAATCTAGTTTCTTGAAGGAGGCACTAAATACATATTAAAAAGAGATTAATAAGTTAGGGCAGCGATATGCTGACTGCTTTACTCTTTTGAGTGAATTCTTTAAACTACCTTTTGTACTATTGTGTCAATTTTCATCGGACGATAGGCTTAGAAAACAGGCAGCTGGAAAATGCCTCCATCAGTAGTACGCAGTTATTTTAAAGCGAAAGAAATCCCGCAAGTGATTTGCCGTAATTAGACATTTTATTTAGAAAAACACGATCATTTTGAATAAAAGCCAGTCATTCTTATAATTCCTGCAAATAATGCAAAAGATTGCTTTTGAAATAGTCAATTGATTAGTTTTGCAGATCATGAGTTAATAATAACATACAGAAGCGACAATGATTCAATAGCTGAACGCTCACCATCCCACACGGGAGGTACAGGTTCAATTCTTAGCTGACGCACTGCTACATTTTGCCTAGTTTACTGAGCAGGAGAAAGCTCTAGAACGAAGAAAGCCTGGACATGAGGCTAGCAACCCTACTCCAAAAAAGGAACACCGGAAATACTGGAGCCTTAGCCTTATATTCTACTCGGAACACAAAGGAAGGAAAAAAGTAGCACATAAAAAATTAAGTCATGCTACAGCTGTCGTGTAAAAGGATACGGATTTATGTATTCACCGAAGACTAGGAAAGTAGTTGTGAAATGTGGGTCATCCACAAATAGACCATCCACTTATGCTGGTGTTTTTTCCAAGTCTGAAAAGACCTTACTTTCACACTTCATTAGTTAACACACAGCAAATGAAGCAACTAAGGAGATGCATGAAGAAAGCCACTTTCGTTAAGTATAAACAAGACCCGGATGGCTTATTTAGTCGTGCAAATAATGATTGGTTTTTCACGTGTGTTGTCACTGTGTCTGACTGACAGCACTGAGACCTCAATTGATAAACCGAAATTGCCAACATGCTGATACAATTACAGTAACAAAACATTTTTTCTTCCGTACTCTTAATTCGGATTCCCGTCAACACGTATTTATCTATATATGGGAATGTTGACCTACTGACCCCATTAAAAAGCATAAATAATATCACGAAATTAGCAAACATACCCTTCTTTTTCTCCTTTTTTCGTTGAGCAGAATCTTGACTGCTGCTGAAAAACCAACCCTTAGAACTATGTGAATGTTGTTGTAGCTTATCTCTACGGTATCTTTGATGAAACGTTATGAAATTCCAAACCATTAAAGCTTGTGCAATGAAGAAAAATAACATTGCAGCAGTTCTACAATAAAAAAAAGTTAACTGTATATAGGTGGATGCTTTGTCAAGTAAAATATTAACAACAATATATCAATTGATATAAGTATAAAACTTGGACACCGTGGTAGAGTATAACTCCATCATACATAGGATTTTATTTTGATAAATCACAGTGTTGTACAGTAATAATAGCTGTACTGTTAATATTCCTGTACAACACTGTGATTTATCAAAATAAAATCTTATCTATAATTGATCAATATATCAAATCTTATTTGAAACAAGACAACAAATAGCTGCTTTACCATGCTTGAATAACTTAATACATACGAATACCAATAAGTGAGGTAGACCTGGCTAACTAAAACGGTATGAATAATTTGCTTCGCCAGCCTATAGAATGTATCAGTGAGAATATCTAGGCCATTAGACAGAGTTTTTATAGAAAGCCTTTGTACAGAGTACATGATAAAAAGTTAGACAAGTAATTAATACACACTGGAGTGATATGTGTAGATAATATCTTTACTGCTAATTTCAAGATAAAGCACAGAACTATGTTGAAATAAGGTGAAATGTGGTCAGGTTAGGGTCTTGTGACAAGTCAATAGCATGATCGATATTAGGAATCACGAGTTGGAGACAAATACTAATCCACCCAAACTCTTCTAAACTTCCGACCTTTTGATTACTCTTGATTTCATAGTAGGCTCTCCAACCAGTTTCCTCTAATATTTTACAAGCTTTAAATGTTTTCAACAGCTTTGTTTAATAGATTTTTATTATATTGGGACAATCTGAACTGGGAGAGAATTCAATATCCAGTCTAACAATATACTTTTCCACACAGAGGGGTTTTACGCAAAGCTTAAAGGGTTACAAATTGCTTAAAGTTATTACCTTCTTAAATGGAAACTGATTTTATAATGAATATTTGCTCCGACTACAGACGTTAATGAGAAACTAATTAGACAGTTGCAGAACGGTGTGCTTCAACCACTAATTTTTCAACTGGCATTCATCACTGTACACATCATTTAACGCAATTACTATACTCCCATCCCCATTTTGAAACACGATTTTATACCAGCGAAATTCTTAATATATACTTATAATACAATAGACACGAACATCAGTTCATCCGATGTTGCAGATGCACCTTATTTAGTGCCAATAAGCACGAAACCTACGTTCAGGCCATCCAGCCGAACTACGCGACGACTGTTAGCTGTGTAAGTCTGTCAAGGTTTTACTGACATTCCTCCCCCCCTTCCCTCTTGCACCATTTTATTCAGTGTTTACGACGCTCATCTAGTAGAAGGAACTAAAAATATTTTTTAAAATTATACAGAGAGACTTGTAATTATTGTACTGATTTCCTAAAGATCGCTGCAGAAAGTGTAAGAACTCAATGGGACTGACATATCCTGCAATTTGAAACCACACTGTACACTTAAGAGACACATTTCGGTAATAACTATGACCATATGGTGTTAACTTATGAAATTCAAACACAATCTAGAGAACTAACTGACTACAGACAACTCATACCCTAAAATAGCTTCACAACCGTGGATGTCGAGAAATGAATGCCTATCCCAGGGATTTCGGCCAACTATTGATATTTCTTAAATTGAGCTAAGTATGACATTTGAAATTACTGCTTCGATAGCTGAAATCTAATTTCAGGAATGCCTCAGAATATTCACGTACACTAGGTTAACACAAGATGATAGCTACGAATCACTGCGAATCGAAATAAAAGTCGGCAGTAGTACACGATTTTTGATATTAACTTAACTGACTGTTGACATGCATAATAAGGTAAGTTATGTTGACGTTAGGCGTAGAGTGTTGGGCAAAGAGGGAAAATCAATCGAAGAGGCTATAAAGTTACATAGATTGAGATGGCTAGGTCACGTGTTGCGCACGCCTAACCATCGCCTACCCCGACGGACGGGCATTACTAGCTGATATAGGTGCATGGTTGGAAAAGAGTAAGTGGTGCATGCCAAACAAAAACATGGCATCAATCCATGAAATCCTTGACAGTTAAACTGAGTCAGGTAGGGAGATGCAGACTTCCGGGTTGGGGCCCGCCCTCGGGACTCTAAGAATCAATGGCTGGAGACCATAGGTGACATGGCTCAAAATCGTTGTCAATGGCTTACGCAGATGTATTCAGTCTCTTTAATCCTTCATATTCCTTTCTACCATTATTCATTCTGTTTCACTCTTATACTTGTCAGAACTCTATTGATTCTCTTCACTCATTTTCTTGTCTACCTTTGTGTGCTCTTTGGAACGTGGCAACTCGAACTGCTGCACTTCGGTGCTATCTTCTATGTTGAATCCAGACAGACAGACTGTTGACATGCGCACAGTGGAAACAAGTAAGTTGGATGTGAAAGCTAACAAGTTTACATAGTCTTCAAAAATTAACGAAAAGTTTCATTTGACATACATGAAACATAAAATTAAGAAGCGAATTCTACTCACCTTATGGAAGGAGTATTGAAGTTCCCCTCGGTAACATCAACATAAATAACAGAATTTTTCCCTAAACCATGACTAAAAGCGAAAATTATCAATTAGCAGATACTTACTGCAATGTAAGGAAACCAAGAATTACACAGGCCATACGCACTGGTATGAAAGTCCAATTCCATATTGCAAAACTAAACAATACAAATAACATCGGAGAACATACCCAATGGATGAATATTTGTATTCTGCAAGATATAAAGCCCGAGCGACATGCAAAAAGAAGTCAGTGCTATAGTGAAGTATTAACAGCACCATACACAGTTTGGTCAATCTACAGTACAAAGTAACAATTACTGCATGATAATTACCCTCCAATGTATGCCAGGGACACTCCAAGTAGATATATTGTTGCATGAAGCACTCGTGCAGGTATAAGTTCCTACAAAATTATTGTTGAAAG